GCTAGCAAAGTTGGCCGTTTTCAGCCTCAGTTCTCCATACACACCGCTCTGTCTACGGTACGGGCGTACTACGGAGAAGCTGGTGTTCGCCTAATACGAAAACTTTCTCAATTACTGACGTAATAAATCATTTTCCCGATCAACATCAATACTCTCTTTAGGCCATCCTTAGCGTCTTAACGAGACGCCATCTTAGCTTTTTCTCACGACCGAAGTACAACCTCAAATCAGCAGCACACGTAGCCTCCCACGTTTCTTCCTGAAAGTAGTCCCCTCATGCACACCAAACACGTCACGTAATTACAACGGCACAATTGTGGGAGAAAGTAGGTCAACGTTATTTAATGTATTTTGCGAATGTTGTAACATCCATGTTCCAGCATGTACATGTTTTAAAAGACAACCTCAGAAATATTACGAGCAAACAACCAAAAAAGGACCAGCTCTTGTTTGTTTGGTAAAATTGCTTTTAAAAAATTGGTTTGACGCAGGGTATATATATATATATATATATATATATATATATATATATATATATATATATATATATATATATATATATATATATATATATATATATATATATATATATATATATATATACTTATACTTAAAACTTTTCAGTAGAGACAGACGCTATGAGTGCAATATTAATCAAAATTATTTAAAAATATATCATGTTAAAATGGCACATTTTGCTATGTTTAATGGTATTTCTGCATCATATCTAAATTATTTTAGTTTTTCCAACTTATAAGCTCGTGAAAAAGTATCAACTCAAGCCTTTAATGTTCATTTGAGAAGAACATTCTTGTAGAAAACAGGAAAGGCAGGGGAAAACGATGGGACCATTAAATAGGGTGATTTGGTAACGATTTTTACCCAGAAAACACTTGGAAAAAATATCGGCTATCCACTTGAAAATTTGCGTGACATAAAGTTGAATAAAGAGTTAACATGAAGCCAGAACAACATTGTATTCAATATTTTACACCTAAAACATCAGTAACGTCAGTTGGTTTTGTAAAGTTTTTAGGAACCATGATTCCGTCTTGACTGTGGCAAACTCTAGTGTAAAATTCAATACTGATAGGGCCTTTTGAAGGTTCAGGGTGGGGGTGTAATGTATTCCTAATGCTGCTGAAATGTCTGCCCCTGGTATCTTTCCGTTGAATATAAACACAGAGATTAATCAAGCATGTGTAAATAAAAAACTTCAAAGCTTGAAGGTGGAAACACAGAGCTTTTCTTTACACTCATTTGTCAATTTCTGATTCTTCTAAAGATTTTGATCCTTAATTACAGAAAACTGCTTACTAAGCAGAAAGAAATCCTTCCATATATATATGGCGATTGAATTATTCAGCTTACCGAAAAGGGACCTTACTTATTGGATGTTCCGAACACTGCTACAATTTCAGTTCAGTGGTCCAAAAGCAATGAAGCAATGAGTCTTTTAGCCAGTTGGATGTTTTGGATATTTTTTTATTTAATCAATGTATTTTTGTTTAGTATTTCCCATTTTATTGAAATTGTTATATGCATATTTTTAGATTTCTTATTTTATTTTTTGGATTGTGTCACACTTTAGCCTCTGGTTTACATCTGAGAACATTTTTAGATATTTTACAAATGAAAACTATTATACATTTAATTCAAATAATAACCAGACTAATAAACCATGTAAAATTAATTTAGGTAATAATTTACTTAAAAGTACTTTGAAATGACATGATATTAAAAGTTCCCTATATTCAATTAAATATGTGGGACATCATTTTACATCTGATTATTATGATTGAATAACAAAACAAGGAAAGACTGACTGTGTACATTTGAAATGAATTACTATAATGTTAATATACATGATAAAACTCCACAGAAAATAAAAGTATAAATATAAGAATGTCAGAGTGCAGGATTTTGGAGGAATTTCGCAAATTTTTTTAAAAGACCCGCCCTCTCCACTTTAAATAAAAAATGCTATTGCACAACCCTGTACCCGCTTCCAAGAGGGAATGCCTATTAAACGCGTGTGTTGGAGCCAAATGCTTGATTTATGATTGAATATTTATTTCTAGTTTACTATTTTTGTCTGGTTTTGGTATGAAATATATATGAACATGAGATATTTTGGTTTGAAGTATAAGTTGACTGACTTAATTATGAAATTATGAATTTGTTTAGTTGTGTTTTGCTGCCGTGCATAATTTATGCTGTTTCTCGCCTCCGCCCCTTCATTATGGACAGGTGACTGCAGCACCTGGATTATATTGGAGCTGGCTATTGGGTTCAGTCAGCGCAGCCATACAGTTTTTGACCGCTTTTGATTATCATTATTTTTTTGAGTGGCAAAAAAGGAACGAAATGAGCCGATATGATCTGCCTGTCACGTCATATTGCGGTAAGAAAATAAATCTAAGTTTGTTTTTATTTTGGAAAATAAAGCGTCTTGATCAAGAAGAAAGAAAGTTTGTTGGATTGCATGGTCACACTAAACAACATCTGACAGATCTGAAGTGAGTCTAACTTGGATGCTTCTGAACCAAGAGCCAAACGCATCTTTATTGGAAAGATTGCGCCATTAGCAATCTTTTTCCACTATGTCAGACTCACCACCATTAAGTGGAAATGAGGACGATCACGCAGGAAGGCCTTACGTCAACAAATCACCAGAATGATTGACAATTAGGAGGACCACTTATTTTGATGATCCACCTGGAAAAAAGAACATCCTCCACTATATCCTCAAAATGTCACTTTCTCATCAAATAAATCAGACACACACATATTTGTTACTTCACTGCAAGGACACTTTAATTCATCAGAAGCAATAAATATTCACATCTCAGTTCTCTATTCTTCCAGTACATGTAATACATACACAAAAAAGGAAATCATGTTTAAAATAATATCCATAAGTGCACTGACATATCAACTTTTCTCAGGCCTTGAATTTATAATCGCTGTAAGTCATTCTCACGCCAGCAGTAAGAAACAATAAGAAAAAGAAGAGGTCAATATTCCCTTTGGACAAATAATTCTTGTCCCCGTCTTTGCTTTAAATGTGCATACCTAGTGGCACTCACATGCACGCACCTGAATACAGAATGGGAGCAGTTCATCCCATAATTATAAGAGGCCTATGTATAGTTTAATATGTACATTCATGTTTATACAGTACAATCTATTTAATAAGTGCAGATATATTCATGCAAGAATAGTTAAAAAGGACACAAGAAAAAGATTAGCCGACAAACACTTAGAAAATTATTCCTTTTAACATTCTGAATTCCCTCCAAACTTTCTTAAAATCCATTTTAAAAATAGTAAATCTTCTTGAATTATTCATTATCTTACTGCAGAGACATTTTTTATTTTGTCCTTTATGATTTCTAATCTTCTGGATCAAAAGATGCGTAGCTTCCTCGCGGTAATAAACGGCACTGAAGAATGACTAGATCAGTGTTCAGGGGTAACACTTATAGCCCACAAGAAAATCAATAAATAAATAAAAAAAAAAAGAAAAGAAATACAAAATACAGTATGTACCTGTAGGCTATTTTACATTCTTAACCACTGTAGAGATTTCACAAAAAAAGCCCTAGGTCAAATGCCGAGGAATCAGAAAATATAAGACATTTTTCAAAGTCAGATAAGATAAGGGATTAGAAGAAGGCCATTTCGGACTTAAGACCTCACATGTGCAAAACCACAAAACTTCAACACACAAAAAAAAGACACAATAACCCAAAATCTGATGCCTGCAAGGAAATAGCCACAGTATTAGTCACAAATTCTAATACTGTCATCCAGAGCATAAATGTGATTAATTTGAGGTTTTTAGTGATTTATTTGAGCCATTCTATTTGCAGGGTGAAATAATCATGCGGTATACCTATAAAGATAATTTTAAAAAGCATGCACTGGGTTAACAAGTTCAATTTGTCATGGCATTTCATCTAGACAAAGTAAATGTGATAAAGCAGGCCTAATTACATAAGTTATTAATAAATAAATAATATTTAATTCTTGTTTCCTTTAACCAGCTTCTATTATCCTTATGTCCCATGATCTGACCACTCTTTATGGCAAAATCAGCTTAAGTAAACTTAAGTAAGCATTATCTCTTCCAGTAGCCAGACCTAATAATAGAAGTAGATGGGAGTGGCGGCCTAGTGGTTAGGGCGTTGTGCTTGGAATCCAGAGGTTCTGAGTTCAAGCCCCACTCCCACAGACTGCCACACTGGGTCCCTGAGCAAGACCCCTAACCCCACACTGCTCCCCGGGGGCCGAACAATGGAAGCCTACTGCTCCCCAAGGGGATGGGATAAATGCAGAAAGTTCATTTCATTGTTCTGTAATTGTAATTACACTGTAATGAAAATTATATATATATATATATATATATATATATATATATATATATATATATATATATATATATATATATATATATATATATATATATATATATATATATAATGTAATTACACTGTATACATATGTATATATATATATATTTATATATATATATATATAGTTATGTATATATATACAGTGTAATTACAATATATACATATATATATATACATATATATACATATATATATAAATATATATATATATATATATATATATATATATATATATATATATATATATATATATATATATATATATATATATATATATATATATATATAGTGTAATTACACTGTATACATATGTATATATACATATATATATATATATATATATATATATATATATATATATATATATATATATATATATATATATATATATATATATATATAGTTATATATATATATACAGTGTAATTACACTATATACATATATATATAAATATATATATATATATATATATATATATATATATATATATATATATATATATATATATATATATATATATATATATATATATATATATATATGATTAATAATTATTTTTTCTTTTAATCTAATGTGTAATTACAATTGAAAAAAAGCTGAAAAAAAAAAAAAATGATGCTAGTATCACAGTATTGGAGTGTTTTGCTGCCAGTAAAATTTTTTGATTTTAAAGGATGTTTGGAGTTTTAAAGAATTATAACTACCACCAAATTATTAGCCGTGCTGTTGAAACTCAGACACAATTTTAGGTTTAAACTGAAGAAGAACAACAGCATAGGTGCAAGTTTAGGAATAGATAATGCAGGCTGATTATACATGTAAAACGCATTGAGAAATATACCATATCCATGCCAGAAAATCAGGCAGTTTACATAACCTAGGCCAGTTCTGCCAAAACAGTGGTCACATATGTTGCCAAGATAATGCCTGAAACTTAGTGGCTTTTAAAAGCTTCTGCTTAAAGTCCAACAGGATGAGGGGCCGTTAGGAAAATATTAGTGAGGGTTTATCCAAATATTTAAAACTGTACGGTTAAGATAAAATTCACTAAATGTTCGAGCTTTTTCACCTAATTCTTGCTATTTAAAATATTACGGAAATTATATGTTGCATAATCATTCATCCCTGGAATAAAATAGGTACAATGAATCATCAAAAGCCCAAAATTAATCTGACATTCAAGCAGGCGATTACAGTTTTCAAAAATCTAACCTGAACTTGGTTGCTGATAATTGAATTGAATTAAAAACCACATTTGGGCATCTCTTGAATGTAGAGAAGTCCATAAAATAAATACAATTTAAATAAAATCTCTTGATTTTTACTTTGTTGTTGTCATTTAAAAACTTGCATTTTTTTTTAGAGAAATTCCAACTAAAATTCTTATTTTAACACCAGATATATACTAAACATTGAAAACTTAAAGGAAACTATAATGATATGAAAATAAACTACACTCCACATAACAGAATTCCCTCCAGTGGTTATGGCAAAATGAGAGAATCTGTATGTGCACATACTTTTGATAACCACGTACAAACATCTGTTGATATAATTAATCACTGATCAAAACAATGATTGGACAATATTCATTATACTCAGGTAGAGCAGGTATATCGTAATATCAATAAAACAGCAAGAAGCTTCGGAAACATTAAAAATATATTCTTGTTTGTGTCATTCTGTCGATGTCCCAAACCCCACATAGATACCTTTAATAATTCCCATGATGTGGGTAAGACCAGGAGAGCAGCACATTGTTAAAAAGCTGTGATCGTTTTAGAAGTTTAAGAGAGAGCAACATATCTGAGGTCTTCTAAGCAATTAAAAAATTGCCTGAAGGGCAAATTGTAACCAATGCTAATGGATGGAGACATCATGAAGCCAAGTAAATTATTGCAAAGTCTAGGGAGAGTTTTTTTTGCTATTTTTTCTTCTCTTTTCAATGCAAAAGTACAACTGGAATGCATTCGATGGTTCAGTCTCTATTTAAAAACCCATTTTCAGCCACAATAATACATAATCTCTCTGTTTTCCTAGTGCCACGTTAAAACATCTTGTACTGTACATAGAAATATTCTCATACATACTCATAATTTCAAACAAGTAAACTTAAGCATTATATTCAGATATAGATTTTAGTTTCATCTTAAATTATATGGCTATAGGCTTTTTATGATTGTGTGCGGCAAAAGCAGTAACATGTGCTCATGTGGTGTTGTGAGTGCAGTTTTTCAGGTATTCGGGCACAAACCGTTGAAGTCTTGCTGTGCTCGCTAACTCCACCTACATATGTGGGAAGCGGAGGTGAAAGTAACAGAGACGGAGCAGCCTGCGTTTCCTCTTCTCAGCGCTGCTGCTGTTGCTTTCTGTCCGGGCGGACTTGCTTCGTGTCCGTGATCGGCCCGCCTCCTCATACCTGTCCTCTAGCCGGTGACCCCTAGAGCTCCATGTCCTGCTCAAACCACGGTACTTATCCGGTTGATAGGCTTGGATTTGGAGCTGCCCACCGTACCTGTCGATCCAGCCCCTGTCACCTGCGGCCCCTGCTGAAGCTGCCCTGGGTGCTGGGGGGGGTGAGGGGAGAGAGGTGTAAGAGGGGTAAGGGGGGACGAAGGGGGGGGTAAAGGGGAGTGTGGTGGGGGAGGGGGGATGGAGGAGAGAGGAGGGTACTGGGGCAGATACGGGGCGGCGGAGGCTGCGTGATGCGCACTGACGGAGGCGGACGGAAGGTTGTGGGGCAGCGTGCCGAATAAAAAGTGTGTTTGATGGGTGGAATGGCTTGTTGGGTGTGGAGTTTGAGAATGTCTGGGGTGGGTTTGGGAGTGCGCGTGCGGGTGGGGTTGGGAAAGAGACAACGTTAGGGGGGGTTTGGAACCTGGGGCGCCGACCCCTCTGGCAGATTGTGTGGGCTGAACGTGGTAAAGAGCGAACTGTGGGCTCTGGCAATGTTGGGAGAGAGGAGAAAGAGGGGGGGGACATCCTACCACCATGTTGGTGTAGCGACCCTGAAGCCCATGCTGGGAGAGCTGGGAGAGATGGGCCAGCTGTGGGTGCTGGACGTGTGGTGGACCAACAGGAGGACGACAGGGTAGTGGGCCTCTCTGTAAAGTATGAGGGGGGACCCCTTGCAAAGGAGGGGGCGCGGGCTGGACGTGGAAGCGATGGTGATGGTAGTAAGGTGGTGGAGGCTGTATTGAACCCATGTGACAGAACTGTGCGTGTAGTGCCTGAATCTTGGAAGCCCCCCCCTCCAGCTGGCAAAGGGATGAAGGGGAGTGAGGAGGGGGCCCTCCAGTAGTCGGTGGGGGTACAGGTGCGGGGTAGGGTGGCCCCGGTGGAATAAGAGGCCCTGGTGGTTTGGCGCGTTTGCTGCCGAAGAGTGAACCCAGGAAGGAGCCGCTGTTGTTGCTGCTGTTGCTCCCCCCAGGGCCTACCCCTGCTCCTGCTCTCTCTACACTGCTGGAGACTCCCCCAACTCCTGTCCCAGCAGTGGTAATTTGCTGCCCCGGCCCACCCCCCACCCCCGATCCGGGGCTCAGGATGGGGCGGTGAGGCCGGAATTCTTCTGTGCTGTAGCAGCCAGGGATCACACCTGGCACTGGGTAGCGCTGATGAGGCTGTGGGCTGCTAATGATGGAGCCCTGGGAACATAAAAACTCATCAGGTTTTAAAAAACACACTGGAGAATTACAATCGCTCCTCCTTTACTCAGCACACCAAGCATGCTGGGGCGGATATAACTGCAAAAATGCCATGCAAAGGGTGACAGTTCAGAAAACACACAGGCATGTTTACACTATACGCACATGCACTGAGACAGAGATCTAGTTAAGGGAAAATGTAAGTCATTTAACTAATCTCAACTAATCTTTTATAGACTTACTTCCATTGTACTGTCCAGAGAACCAACACTGTTCCTGCGACCACGTTTCCCTGCACCCCACCAGGAAGAATCGGGTTAGCAAAGCATAAAAGGTTTATTGTTTTGCAAGAATTCAGTGCCTTGCAGAAGTATTTTTAATTCATTCACATTTTCAGATTTCGTTACTTTAAATCCATAAACATCAAGACATTTTATTAGAACTCCACAGGAAAGACCAACTTAAACTATTACGGCCACTAGTCTTTTGTGGTATGCCATCTTTCTACATTTTTAAACTATTCTTCATTGCAATAGCAGGTAAGTTAGATGGGTTAGAAATGTCTTAAAACAAGAATTATGATTCTCATTTAAATGTAGTTTTTTGACTGCACATAAGCTGTGATCTAAATGATCCAAACGCAGCTTTGGCTGTATTAAATCCACAATCTGCACATTACAAATTGTAGCTCCTAGCTCCTGTTCGTAGCTACTCTTCCTTTACCTTTCACTGTTTCTACACTAAGGATAGTATTGTTGGGAGGAAAGGAATTCCAGGACTGCTGTGCCAGATCTAGAGAGCCCATGGATGATGCTTTTTAAACTGGGACTACAGCTCTCCAGAAAAGAAAGGCAAAAAAACACAAATGTAACTTAAAGGTATTGTGGAGGATTTTCATGACTTTTTTTAAAAGACCCGCCCTCTTCACTTTAAAAGAAAATGGGGGTGCGAGAGCATGCATGAGCCCATTTCTCCTCGTGCACACTCTGTTTAAAAGTTGCTGTTCTCATAGCTCATACAAGCTTACTGTGTCCGAACGTCAACCCTAACCCCTAAATCCCTCAATCTTTATATAGAGCGGGACTATATATTGGACTTTATAGCAAACTCTGTTAACTGACTGTTCGGACAGATGATCACTGCTTTTTGCTCCCTTTTGGTCACCTCCACTGATTGGTGCCTGCGCCATCTTTGTTATTAGTCGCCACCGTCGGGTAGCAACAGGCTATGGCGACAGGGGGCTGCTGTTACAGCAAATCCCATAATGATTTGCGTTCTCAGCCCAAAGCATTCTGGGATATATCTACTTTTCCTGAGGCCTTTCTTTTCTTTTCATACACTTTGTAGATCTCTTACGACCCTCAGCCAAAGGTTAGCTTCAATGACTATCTGAAACCGTAGCTCATCACAGATGTACACCAAAAAGTGCACATGTGCAGAAAAAGATAGATAACGGGACAAGCATGTAGAACGGCCTTACGTAAACATGTCACCAGAATGATTGACAATTAGGAGGACCACTTATTTAGATGATCCACCCGGAAATAAAAGATCGTCCTCTATACATTTAACATGAAGGTACATGCACTTGCATGTGTCATACAAAGTTCTAAGGGGGGCTGTACCTATACATTTTGTTACACAAAGGATTGTGGCATTTTGCAAAGTTTTTGAGTCCCAGAGAGAAATGCCAGGAGAGAAATAAACTATTGATAGGAAGTGCCCAGCATCTTTTCCTATCTCCTTCCTTACTGTCAGCAGTATTCGGACAATACTTATCTAGGAGAAAGCCCACACACCTCCACCAAGGCTTAAGAGTCCTTACCGATTTAATTAATTGAAATTGTTCTATAGAACAGCTGTATTTTACCCTCTGTACTAGTCTAAATCATTTGGCACCCTTTAGCAGTTTTTTTCCTTTCAGGCCTTCCCTGTAGCTCAGTTCATCTTCCCATGAACTCTGATTAGCTTTCCTGTACCCGCTGAAGAAAAGCATCCCTAATGCATAAAGCTGCCACAATCGTGTTTGACTGGTGTTATCAGTGTTGATATTCATAGAATTTTGCATGAATGATTTATCCTCTAGTTTCCCCTTGTCCTCTACATAGCATGGCACTCTGTCACTTTGATGTTGAAGCCATACCTAACCCACAGGCCATTTAACAGCTACTGGAATTAATTCTCTCTATTCGAGTTTATGTAGATGATCGTGCCAACTTGGTTATGTAGTTTTAACATAGTCTTAAAATTCTGGATAATGGACCAATCAGTGATATTTATCACTGAGATGTTCAATGCTTGGTATAGGGTTTTACCAAGGGTCTCAGAGTAAAGAAGGCTGAGCACAAATTACATGCCGGGCTTTTAAGACTCATGTTTACACAAAAGTTTAAAAAAACATCTATCAATTTCCTTCAACTCCACACAAATATGCTCGACTTTGTGTTGGTCTATCACGCAGAATCAAAATAAACTACAGTTTGTAGTGTGACTGAATATATTATGGTCAAGTGGTAAGATTTTTTTGCAAGGCACTGAATGATTTGTGAATGTCTTTAGCAAGATAGGAGAACAAGATGAAGCTCTATATTGAAGAGCAAGATCAGCAAACCAGAATCCAGAAGAGCTGATAGTAAAGAAAGATATTGACCTAGAGACCACCCTGTCTCAGTCGTTATGTTGTCTCACCTGTGTCTGAGAGGTCCCTGAGAGATGAGCTGAGCGCTGTGCGTTTGAGACCCTCACCAACTGAGCAGTTGTCATCAAAGCTTGTCCTTCCCATGGTGCCATTCACGAGATCGCTCTTCATACCTGCGCCTCCACCAACCACAGCGCTGGTCAGTAGGCTTGGACGCATCACACCTTTCTGCTTCTCCAGTTCCGCTGCAAAATTAAACAGAAACAGCAGGGCAGAGAAAGAGAGTGAGATGCAAAACAATGATAAGAAACTTTTGTGTAAGTTTCCATTCTCTCATGCTCAGAAACAACAATGGCTTTGGTAAATCAAAAACTAAACATTTATTCATAGACATAACCAGCAGATGGGGCACTTACACTCCACTCTGTATTTCTCCATCTCTTGCACTTCAGCAATACTCTCCCTGAGGTCACTAACAAAGCGGGTGCGGTCCTGCTGACTTGGTGCCATAAAGACGATAAGAACCTTCCTCTCTCCGCCTAGGCTAGATGAGGTCAGGCGGATACCGTGAGGATAATCTAGTTTGTAACAGAGACAATACTGTTACAATCCAACAGGAAAATTATGTTAAACTGAAAGCTACACTGGAAAAAATCGAAATCTGGATTAGTCATTATTTCTTAAAATAAGTGCATTTGTTCTTTTATTGAGGAGGTAAAAGACATTTTGCCAATGTAACAAAACAATTTACATTTCAAATAAGAAAACAAAATTGCATTGTCTAATTTCAAGTGCATGTTATTTAATTATGTTATTTTAAGGGTAAAAATACTAATTCCATTGGCAAACTACCTCATTACCCACTCAAATTAAGGGTAAATACACTTAATTTAAGACATTTTTACTTATTTCTAGATCGTTTTCCAGTGTAAAAAAAGAAAAAAAGTTTCTTACATGAATTCTGAAACATGTGGACTTGCATATCAACCAAAGGGAAAGATTGTCTGAAACTGTAAGTGACTGAGGTTTTCTTCTTTTGGAAGATTTTGGTAACCTGGTGGAAAGCCAAAATTTATATTCAAAGTGTTGAATCAGTTATTCGAATTTCCATATTATAGCAGTCTGAAATTCAGCCTTACCACCAACAAATCATTGAAGAGAAAAACTTCTCGTTGGTGAACTCCTGTCCTCTGAGGTCTGTTTGGGTCAGGAACCTCATAGAGTTGGCAGCAACAAACCAGCCTGCGGTGGGGTAGGGACAGCACCTATGTGGGGAAATAGATTGAATTATTTTCTGTCTGCCTAACAGAAATAAAACCGATCCCAATGAAAATAAATTGCTAGTGTCTTCAACAGTGATGGAAACTCACAGGCTTTTTGCCAACAATGACCCTTTCCACTGCCTGCACCTGCGACACATGGTCATCATTGGTCCGTAACTCCCATTTCTGTATTCGCTGGTAGATGCCAACCAACAGGTCCCGAGGTATATCCTGACCATTGTCCACACCTTGGTTGGATAAGAGTTTTAAAGTTTTTAGGAAATAATAACTCAAACATTTCCCCCAAATACCCTCTTAGATAAAAGGGTACTTAAATAACACCAAAGAAAAATTCTCATGGGTACAACACAGTCTACAGTACTCGCTTAAGTTGTAGAGACCAACTTTTGTGTTTTATAAAATGGATTAGCACCTCTCAAATTCTTGATGAAATCCTCTAGTTTCATCTTCCTCTCTGCTTTGATGTTGGGGCTGTACATATCCGTGTTGAGGAGGATTATGGCAAACGCCAAAATAAAGATGGTGTCAGGATTCTGGAACTGCCGAACCAGGGTTGGATTGCACACACAGTACCTCTGGCTGAAAACAAAAGGAATTTATTCAAACCTTATAGCTACTTTCTAGACAACACCCAGCCAAAATCCACACATGAGGCCTCCAACGATAAAAAATGGACCCCATAATATTGATATTAATTTGAGATATTGGTAAGATCATCTGGCCTTACCAATAAAGTGTTGTGTTTTTAGTCTCATAATGGTGTGTTTACACTGAATGCCTTTCCAGCGACAAATATTCTACATTTAGGTTTTATCACTGGCTTGACATATCACCAGCAGTTTACATGGTGGGTGACAAGCTCTGCTCTTGTTGCTTTACTGTGTCATCAAATCGAAGGAGCTTCTACCGGCTGCTTGCTGCTTTCAGCTCAGCATGGCGCACCTGGATTTTACGGAATGAGTGACTTGATTTTGGAAAGCTGAACAGCGGTACGAGCATCCCTGGGTCCACCAGATCCTTCAGAGATGCCCCTACCTCAGGGAGTGGAGGATCTACAGCTGGTTCAGGTTACTTCCTGCATTAACTCCCTCTGACCAGGATCTAAAACTATCCTATTTAGGGGGAGGATTGCCGGGACAAGATTGTTCTGCAGCAGCAGGAGCTAGGAACAAGATGCTGGCTTTACCAGCATAGGAGTGGAAGTAAAGTAGCTGTGGCCTGGGCCAGCTCTGAAGAGTACAGCAGAAAAAAATATAAAACACGGCTGTAGATTCACTGCAAAAAAATTGAAATCTAATTTTTTCCCCCCCCTAAAATAAATGCATTTTTTCTTGAATTGAGGAGGTAAGTGAGACACTTTGCCAATAGAACAAGAAACAAGAAAAACAATTGTGTTGTCTTATTTGCAGTGCATATTATTTAACTTATTATAAGAGTAAAAATACTCATTCCATTGGAAAATTCTATTTACCTACTCAAATTAAGGGCAAATATACTTGATTTAAGAAATTTTAACTTATTTCTGGATTGTTTTGTAGCATTGGAGCAAGATTAAGAGCAGAGGTGGCAGGGGGCCAGTGCCAGTTCTGGAGATTGGAGAAGGACGGTGCAAGATTGTAGCAAGATGCCGGGCAGAGACAACAGGTTGCTGGAGTTACAGGATGATTGATTAATGATTAAAAAGTCATTTAAATCAAAAGGGATTTTTTTATAAGCCAACAACAAACCTTTTAAGAAAATTCTTTACTTCCTCCCATGACATTTTTTCTAACTTCACTCTACATCACAGCCATATCCAGTCCCTGATTGGTTGTTGAGAAGCGACATGACACTGAATTTCATTTTCGGCAACTTCAGCGAAGTTCACTGCCTACAGGTGTTGTGTTCCTGTCACAATACTGTAATTGCCATAATTGGTCGTCCTTTCGCATCACTAGGAGTTTTTGTAACATCACTTTGATTGAAGCTCTCCTCGAAATGCCTCTACAAAGGGATGTCACATATTCAATTGGTCCGGTCTCTGGAAAAGCATTTGGTGTGAATTCTAACACCATTAGGAGTTCATTTTGGTACCCATTATGTGGTCCAGACAAACCCACTAAAAATATTTCTCTTTAGATATTTGTAATGTACAAACCTGAAGGCCTCTATAAGTCTTTCCACCTTCTGAGCTTCACCTTGAACTTTAATTTGCGCCTGGAATTTCCTCAAAGCATCATCAATGTCCATACCTGAGAAATCCATCTCATCAACCACACAGCTGCGGAAACACACACATACACAGCTTAGAGGATCTAGCTGAATTTCTTTCACACTAAGCATTTTTGCGCTTTAGTATTAGCATTGCATAATTCTTATCACATCTTCTGTGTATGGGGGTGGGTTGAATAAAGGTCTTAAAAAAATCCCATTGCTTCAAAAGCATCCTCTGTATCTTCTGGGCATGATTACAGATTTCCTCTGCTTTAGTTGTTTTTTTTCAGATCATCAAACAAATGGAAAAATGGAAAAAAGCCGAATTAAAATGATGTCTTCATTTTTTAAATGCTAGCCAAAATTGTTTTAAAGACAAATACCATTGCTGATGAAAAGAAAAGAACAATTTACATCTATCAAAAAAACATCTTGAAGAACGCCAAGACGTTTTGGAAAACAATATCTGGACAGAAGGGTTCGGAAAGTGTCAGATCATTACATCATGCATTTAAAAATGCCCAAAAACTCTGTAACTTAGTGAATTAAATAACTATTTGAAAACAGTTTACAGAGATTTCCTTTTCATTGATGATAAGAAACACTAAATTAAGATGAATAAGTAAAAAGAGAATAAATCTCCAGGAAGGTAAACACTTTTATATAGCAGGGTCTACATATTTATTTAAATACTTACTCTAAAACGTCCTTGTTGAACTGTTTTTGTCGGTTTCCAAGAAACTCGCCAATCATCTGCCGGCTCAGTCCTTTTCTTTCCAAGAGGAAGCGAGCAATCCCAACAGGTGTGTCAGATACAAACCCTCGTTCAATCAGGTACTGGATGCCTTTTTCGGGTTTCCTGTAGTTGAAAGAAAAAATAGCATTAACCTTATTGCAGTAAATGCATAATTATACAGGTATTCCACTTTATGGAACTGCAGCTTACTTGTTGAAGAGATTAAGACCAATACGGTACTGGCGTCTCTGCACCACGTCACTGTGGAAGGGTGGAGAGTCCCAGCTATGGCGGCTCTCTCTCTGATACGTCTGCTTGCCCAGAGAAGGAAGAGGTTCCTGCAAGCTGTCCTGAGATGAGGAGCCAGAGCTGCAGTTGACTGTCTCGTTGGAATTGGTGGTTGAGTTGAGAGAGTCATTGTCGCCATCAGAGCAGCATGGCTGCTCCAGAGCACCAGGTGGCAGAGCTGTCGAGGAGGAAGATGACAAAGGGGTGGTAGGGGGCTGCTGGGGAGAGGAAGAGGATGAAGGTGTGTCAGGGTACTGATGGTGGTGGATAGGATGGTGGTGATGGTGGTGGTGGGCCGCCACCTGGTGTGGAATATGTGTCGGTATGGATCTTCCGGGTGCCCTGGTCTGACCCTGGGCAGCTGCTGCCGAGGTGGGGTGTGTGCCTGAGTTTGGGGTGTGTTTGAGAGTTCCCTGCGGGGAGCCTGAACCTACCCCAGGTTCCTGCTCATAAACCAACTGTCTGCTTAGGGAGCCTCGGTCTGAACGGTCACTCATGTCTACTGAGCTGTCACTGGGTGGCTCAATGGTGAGAAGGGGCAGATGGGCTCCCCTTAGTCGGTAGTCTCTACACTCTGTGCATGGCGTGCTGCGCCGGCTGTTGCTGCTACCTCCCCCTTCAGTATCCCTGCTGTCCTCTCTGCCTCCAACCCCCCCGCCGGGGCCCCAGTACTCTGTATCTGTACTGCTGGGTGCTCTGTCCAGGGATAGTGGAGAAGATGGCATCCCATCATCCATATAAAGAGTGACGTCGCTGTACGAGGTGGCAGTACTGTCTCCATGCATACTGAGTCCTCCTCCAGCTCCTCTTCCTCTTTCTCCCAAACCTCTCTGGGAAGATGGGTTGCTGCTGCTGCTCCACATGCACTCTCCAAAGTCTTCACTGATTGGTCCACCCTCCTTGCTGCCCTCTTGAGAATCATCGCGACCCGCGCGACAGGTGAGAGCATCATCAATTGAATCAGCTAAGGACTTGACCTGATGGAGAAGTAAGAAATACGATTACCAAGGCCAAATTCATCAACAGTGTGGGTTTGTGGTTCTAAAAACTTTTCAGTTTAATTCATCTTTGCCCTATATGGTACCAAATGAATAAAATATAATGTCCAGGCGTAAAGGGGAACTGAATATTTCTAACCATATCATTCCACCTATCAAGGTCACATTCCATGTCCACAGAGCCAATTTACGCGTACTGCATTTCTGCACCGTAAAGACATTGTGGACGAGTGACAGCTCATACATGTAAGATTTTCTAAATATAAACATCTAGAGATATCTTATGATTTATTGCAGAACTGTCAACTGGATCAACAGATTGGGAAAAACCCTTTGGAAAGTGTCACTCTTGAAGCACATAAAGAGTCGGCCAGAATATGGGATAAATGGGAAATGCTGCATGGAGCATAAAAGTTGCAGATGTTGTGACCATGTGTCTTCATCAAGAACAACTGATCCTTAACCAGGAATCAGGTTGCAAAAGCTTTCACCACTGACTGTTGACCAATCCTCTTTGCACCTTGTCTCTCTGCAGGTGGTGTGCCCACTGGGGGAGGGTCTTGTGTCACTCCTTCCAGCTTGGCTCCACCAGGACTTGTGAGGGGGGACCTGACCACCAGGCACTTACCCACAACCCACAAGCCCAGGTCTGGCACAGAGATGCTAAGATGGTAGCCTCGTGATACTATCCTGATCTCGCGAGCTTTCAAGGTTTCACTCACAGATCAGTCTGGAGACTCTCTGTTGAAGAAAATTTGGAGCCGTTCACCAAACGAACGTCCAATCAGCGTTGGCTTTGAGGCGGGTTGAGTTGTGACGCAACGAGAAGCGAGACAGTTCAGTCTAAAGAACATGGCGGCTTCAGCCGATGAAACTAGCGTTAGCGTGGCTATCGAGCAAGTTTTATCGGAATTACAGAGTATTTCTTCACTGAAAGAAGAGCAAAACACTGCTCTGGAGGCTTTTCTCAGAGGAAAAGACGTTTTTGCTCTTCTCCCGACTGGTTTCGGCAAGAGTTTGATCTATTAATTGGCTCCTCTTCGTCTTCGCTCTGTCACGTCATATGCTTCCTTTGCTCTGATTGGTTTATTTGGCCCGTCTATCACCAACATAGGCCAATCAGCTAACCAGTATTTTCGCCCCTTCCCAAAATTACTTCAATGGAAGGTTCCCAGATGGATATGCGGAGCAAATCCATCTGGTCAGGTTACTAAGATGGCCCCGTGATTTAGAAATAATTCCCCACTCTGGTTGATTTCCCTTAGATTTGAGACTCACTTTTTTGTGGGACAAGTTTATTTTACTCTTGGAAAGTTTAATGTTGTAAATAAAGACTAAAATGTCTGCAGTGAGTCTGAGTCTGCATGCATCTTGCTTCCTAAACAAGCATGTAGAAAAAAAAATCTGAGCTATATAGTGCTTTATGCATTTATATTTTAAGTTCATATGTTGGTGTTATGAAGCAGAATAGAGTTTATGAACTTGGCAGGTTTATAACATTACTACAGTTTACCTGTTTGGAGAAGGAATCCTCCAGATGAGTGTAGTCTGTAGTGCGGTCAGTATCAGGGGAACGAGGAGGCCCTATGGCCACACTGTGGGTGAAGTTGGTCTGTGTCTGTGCCTGTTGTTGGGGCTGTCTCTCATCGAAGGAGTACTGCAGTCTCATGTTGGACAAGATGATGCGCCGTGTCATGCGACTCTCTGATGCAGAGCTTCGGAGGCGCTCAAAGTTCTTATTCATGCGATACTGTCTAAAGGCTGTCTGAATGGTTTTGGCTGCCCTGCGACTTACAAAGGAGCCCCCATACTTTCTCTCTAACATCTCCACCTGCCAAGGGAGAGAATAATAATGTGTTATTAGAGCTGTGCTCTTGTTATGACAGGACACACAATTTAGTGCTCTATACAACAGCCCTTCTGCAAAACTCTCAGTGTATTCTCATTATCAGTTCGTATGAAATCGTACGAAAAGTTATGCACAGTATTTCGTATGTTTTTGACGTTTTTTTCGTCGTATTTCGTCGTATTTTTACGTCTTGCCTCGAGACAAGATATCAGTGCGCATGCGCATCTTACGCACCATTCAATAACATACAATTTAACATACAATTAACCCTAACTCTAACCGTAACATACAAAACAGCAAGCAACCTAGTGAGAGAAATCATGAAGTAATTATTGCACTGTCGAAAGCTCGTCCCAGTTTTACGTCCGTCCGCTGATCTGCTTTTTTCGTCTGGCTGGCTGCACATGCGCACTGATATGTTTTTTCGAGGAAAAACATTAAAAACCCACAAAATACTGTGCATAACTTTTCGTACGATTTCATACAAACTGATAATGAGAATATGTTGAAACTCTATACATCATTTACTTTACATATTGTTACAAAACAACCTCAAACTGATACATTTTTGTTAAAGATTACACGTAAGCAAATATGTAAAGATCTTTAAACAGAAGTAAAACATGTTGATGTGAATGTATATTGTATCTCTGCTTCTGGCTCCTTGAACCCCAGTCGGCCTCGGCAAAACCAGCTGGTTCTGCTGGAGGTTTCTTCCTGTTAAAAGGGAGTTTTTCCTCTCCACTGTCGCTACAATCATGCTTAGTGTGAGGGATTGTATTTGAGTCAATGAGTCGATACAATCAACTGGTTTTCCTTAGATAGAAAACTTTGAATCAATTTGACTGTATGATCTGGTGAACTGTAAACTGCATTGAGATGGCGTGTTGTGAACTGTTGCTATATAAATAAACTGAAATAAACTGAATTGAATTATATTTAGTCCTTTTGAGGCAACACCTTGCAGGTGAATCTGTAAGGCTAGATAGCAGCTGATTTTTTTTGCACATTCTGTTTTTGTTAAATACCTCAAGCTCAGATAAGTTTGAATTTTGATGTTTTAACAAATTAATATGATTCGATCTATATATCCAACTGTAGCTCAAGCCATTTATTTAAAGTGAAACTGTACCTCAATTTTCTGCCTTTTATTGCTTCAAAATCGATTTCTTTAAATGTTGCACTTCATCTAGCAGAAAAACAACCTAAAATCTCTAACCAGCAATGTTGGAAAATAATCCCCACAGCATGATGATGCCAATACCATGTTTTACAGTGGGGATTGTTTGCATTTCAGATGAATATAGTATAACCTTTCCATCACGCATAATGATTTGCATGTTACCCAAAAACTCTTGAGCTGTTTTCCATTTTTGCTTCATAGCAAACTGTTAACAGGATTTCACATTAATTTGTCTTTGTTTATGTCACTAATGAGCAAAGAGCAGGAATTTAAAGTCCATAAATACTTATTAAAAGATACTTGTTTTTGAGCCATGGATTTCTTATCTCCTTTAGAGTTACTGATGCTTTACTGATTAATGTTGGGTTAGTTTAATGTTGTGTTATATACTAATGAGGGATTGATGTCTGAAGAGAGTTGCACAGGATTTTCTTTCAGTATCAAAATAAAGAAGGCATTCCCCACTTTTAAAATTTAAGAACCTTTAAGAACTTTGTAATGCAATACTTTGTGGAAATAAGTGAAGCTATGAAGGTTGTTAACAGTACTGGGAACCTTTTAATCACACAACAAATATCATTACCTTCTTATCCTGCAGATCCGTTGAGAGCTCATAGCTATCAGAGAGGGCTTTGCATCTCTTGTTTTCCTCCTCCTCTTGCTTGCGGAGGGCAAGGCTTGCCGGCTGGTGGCGGGTTCGCAGCGCCCAGGCCAAGCTGGCTGAGCTGGAGGTGACCACGCTGGCGGGGCCCCTTGAAGCAGAGGGAGCACCACTGATGCTGTCACTGTAGCGCTCTGAGCCGTGAAGATAAGGCGACTGGCTGAAGGAGCTGTCTTTGTGTGTCACTGTTTCCGGACAGCGGGACTCCCCTTCTAAACTGGAGATGAAAAAGAGAAGCAGAAGTTAGAAGACTGAGTGACTAACAGCTTGAGAAAATATAGCTCCAACATCCATCCCACAGAGACTGACCAAGATGTCAGAGGTTTCCATCAGTACAGGCAAAATAGTAATAAGGAATGTCTAAAAACTGGACTTACTTGTACATTTTAAAGCGCCGTGAACCTAGCCACCTCTTTCTGTAATTCATTGTGAACTTATATCAGGGTTTATTTCATGCAATGTCAGCTCTTGACAACATTCCCTGTTTATGCAGTGATTTAGTAGTTCAACCAACATAGAGGATCCTGTCATCAATCCACTTCTGTTGAAGATTCCAGGGTTTAGTTAATGTTCTGCCAAGTCAGCATATCTTTCCTCAGTGCATTGCTGTCCTTCTTAGACAAGCCCAAGAGCAGTAAAACCTTCGGGTAAGTCAGCTGCTACATAAACAAGTTGCTGCTGCGCCAGACACCACTAACTCTATCCAAACAGGAAAAACCAGCTTGTAATGTCAGCAACAGCTGCAAAACCAGCAACACCAGCTTGCTTGGGAATGTGGCAAAAGGTATTCATTAAAATTCTCTTCCAGGTTTTGATTTTCCAGAAATGATCACAAAGTAAGATTAAATGTCTCTTTGCAGTCAAAGATTTTAATTATCGTGACACTTATCAGCAAACGAGAAAGTCCCAAAAGTCCTTCAGTCCTGCTACTTTCTGATCAGAACAGTCCCTCCAAGTCAGCTTGGTGTATTAGTGTGTGTTTGGGGAAACAGCTACAGTCACATGTTCCTTCCTGTGCTGGCTACGCCCCCTTCTGTCAGCAATGAACTGTCCCACAGTGAGTGCACCAAGGGTCAGGGATGTGTGTGGGCATTACATTCACCCCCAGTAAAAAAATTATACTGTTAATAATAGGAAAGCTTTCCTTAAAATGCATTAAATTGATTAGTTTGGATTCCAGCACAAAGAAATGCTGTCTGTCCAGCTCTATCCCTCCCTCATTTGTCACTTTTCCGCTAGACTGTAAAAACTTCCTGAATAGGGTTTGATTTTATGGAGAGAAAAAAAAAAAAAACAATCACCAGGAAACAAAGAACAATTTTAAATTTGTTAAAATCAACATGTTACAATAGATTATGTGGCGTTTAAAACGTCCCAGCTGCTGCTTTATATCAAGACCTGGAATTTTTAGAGTGGGCAGACGGGAAAGCTTTTTACAATGCGGCGTCCTTTAGCAGGACATCCTGTGCCTTTAAGCAACTCATGACTTAGCTCAATGATTGTTGGGTCTAATAACAGAGTGAAGGCAGAGCAGCCATGGTGTTGCATAACAAGCTTTGTAATAAAACACTCTTCCAACCTCTAAAATGAGGTAAAGGTTATTTTAGCAAATCTAAATATTTTTCCTTCTTTTTCTCAAAGCAAATTGAGCTGCTGTGTAGAACTTCATCTCCTCATGTGGAGTTTATTCTGTGCAGCATCATTTTCCAATCCTCCTCCTCCTCTGCTCCTTAAATAGAGAAACAGAGAAGAGGGAGGGTGTTGCTTGGTGACGGTTGCTGTTGGACTTTTGTGGGTGGCTCGGCAGTTGTTAGGATAAAAAAACGTTGTTGCCATGGCAGTGTATTGACTGTTAACATCATTAAGGTGGGTGTTGAAGATGCTGCACATGTTGTGAATGGCAGTCCAAAGAATATTCAGCTGCTTTTGTGAAGTTAAAATAAAAATTTTGGAAATGATTTAGATGAATAAGAAGTCACCTGCGATAAACTAGAAAAGAAGTCTTGTTGCCATCTTTTTTTGCTCTTGATCACGGAAGTGTTTCTTTACAATGCAGGTAGGCGCTGGTAAAAGTCACTCCTCCTGTAATTCGTCACACATCAGGAAAAGAGATGACATTTCTATTAACTGAGTCATATAAGTCATATGTATGAATTTATCTCAGAGTCTCAGGGAGGTTTTAGGGAGGAATCAATTATGAAAAATGTATTGTAAAGTTTAGGATTTATGCAAGTGGATACATCACACTTAACTAACACCTTAAAATTGTGAAAATGGTCAGCTGTGCTTCCAGAGGAAGCTTTGGGTTTTTAAGCCTGCTTTTTAAAATCATCTTTTACACATGAAGCTGTTCAAAGAGAATCCTTTACATCACAGAAACAGATAAGAAAAAAGAGCACCGTCTCTCATGATTTTTACTTTTAATGCTCCTTAAAGGGGAACGCCTTCTTTTTTTTTACATTGGGCCCTTGATTTTACGTTACTACATCATGTTCTACTCACCCATATTAGTTTTGTGTCATTTGGAGCCGTTATGAAGATATTCCGTTAGGTTATATCCAAGTAACGTCTTCCTATGGGCAACGAGTCGAAGGCACAAACTAAACTGCTCATAATTTATTCTTTATGGTACGCCAGCATTCATAACATGTAGGCCAATCACTGTCCCCCAGACATCCACGGTTATATTTTTTTATATTTATATATTTTTTTAAACAAAGCGGCGCGTGTATGACGTCATACTTTCTTGCTTCATGCTTCATTCAGTAGAAGTCTTCACTGAAGGAAGCAACCACACCTCAAAATTGTGCATATGCTTGCAAGGAAGCTAAATAAAGCTTTGCTTTTTCAGGGAAATTTATTTGTCATGCTGTTAAGGAGGTGACCCAGGAAAGTGTTTAGCTATTAGGAGGAAATAGAAGAAGGATAAAGAAAATCAGCAACTTACTAGGTTTATATTGTTTCACAGCAGAGGTTGCAAAACTCATCAAAAATAACCAGTCATGGCCTTTCTTTAAAGAAGTGTATTGACACAGCATAAACTGTGCAGCACTTACAGTCACCTGCATCCTCTGATGCTACAGATCAGATGATGAGAATGTGATTATGGGTAGAAACTTATTTAGAAACTACTAAGAGCACATCTGAACGACTAAATCTACATGGAAGGAGTTTTCGAAGACCACGGAGAAAACAACCAAACAGAAACCTTTTGGAAGCAACACCCTGCAGCTGCTCTAATGTGGGTTCTGAGGATAACACAGATTCTGGAGAGGTTTTATAGTGAGTTGTCATCTAGTAGGCATCCTGCTTAGAACCACCAGCTGACTCTCATGGATGCAGAGGACCAGCAGCTTTACATCTTGCTCTTTCCCCTTTCTTAACGCGTCATATGAGCCGTCCTCAGCAGCAATTTAATTATAGCAGCTTTAATCCAAGTCATTGCTCTTTAGATTATGATATCTAATGGCCTTAATTACAGAGACTCTCTCTTTGTTCACCAAGTCAGACTGGAGCAGTGAGTATTTGCAGCTTCATCCTGCCATCGCTCATTTACAAGATCCTTCTATCAGCCTATATATATATATATATATATATATATATATATATACACACTGGAAAAAATCTGGATAAGTCATTTTTTCTTAAAATAAGTGCATTTGTTCTTAAATTGAGGAGGTAAAAGACATTTTGCCAATGGAACAAGACAATTTACATTTCAAATAAGAAAACACAATTGCATTGTCTTATTTCAAGTGCATGTTATCTAATTATCTTATTTTAAGGGTAAAAATACTCATTCCATTGGCAAATGACCTCATTACCCACTCAAATTAAGGGTGAATACACTTAATTTAATAAATTTTTACTTATTTCTAGATCGTTTTTCCAGTGTAAATTCATACTACTCCACCTATTGCTCAGACTAACCCATGAAGTAGAAACAGAAACTCAATGAGAATAATGATTTTATAGAGCAGACTCCTATTCTGGTGTTTCACAGCTTGCTTTAAACTACCATCATCTAAATGCACAAACTGAACCTTATAATGGGTTTTCCAGATTAAAAGGTCTTCTCTCCACTACCATCCATTGTAATCCCATCCTCTAACACAACAAACAGGAACAGAGACAAGTGGCGGCCCTCGCTGAGTCCATCCTGCATTGTTAACAATCTCATCTCTGTGCCAAGAACACGTCCTCAGCCATTGTTTTAGGTATATAAGGACCGGATACCCCTTAAAAGCAGACTGGGTTCCCCACACTCCTGCAGCAACCTCCCACAAAATATGAGCCATCTGAAGCCAAAAGACACCTGACAGTCTTTGTACTGAATTGTGCTATACAAATAAATTTAAAATAAATAAATTTGCCTTTGACAGGAAGTGGGTAGAGTAACCAAAAATTGTACAGAAGGAAGAATAGCACTACTTTAACATTTCGTTACTCAATTAAAAGTAAAAAAGTATTCAGTAAAAAGGTTACTTAAGTACTGAGAAATTGTTGGATAATAATAATCTGATTTAATAATAATTGATGTTGTTGGCAAACAGACTTTATGTTCAAGTTCTGGCATTTTAAAGACTCAAATGCCTAAAGAATACAAATAAATGTTATTAATATACAGGTACAAATTCATGCAGAAGAACAAAATTTTATCTTTTCACGTAAATCTTAGAAAACAGATCCAGACAATGAGAACTGTATATATATATTAGAAAAAGGTAACAAATTTCCACGGTTAATATCTACTGTTCACTACGGAAGAGGATTAGGGCCACTGAAAAAAAAAAAGTTAACTGATTTTTTAATTTTATTTCAGTTTAACATGGGAAAAAAGTTTTTTTCCCCCCAGACATCCACAGTTATATTTTTTTCTCAGAATTCTGACTTTTTTTTCTCAGAATTCTGAGATTAAAGTCAGAATTCTGAGAAAAAAGTCAGAACTCTGAGATTAAAGTCAGAATTTTGAGATAAAAGTCAGAATTCTGACTTTTTTCCCATACTAAACTGAAATAAAATTTCAATTTAATGTAACTGAGTAAATGTAACTAATTACTACCCACCTCTGCACCTGTCGCAGACAATAATGACCCCATGGTTTAAAGAACCCATTAAAAACAAATTAATCTTGTTTTGGAATTTTTAAAGAGATTTTAGCAGGCAGGATTTTCTATCCCTCATATTTTATATAATATATAAAATATATAACAAAAA